ATTTACAAAGACATAAATAAATTTAACTATATTTGGAGGACATCCTTTGCATTGAATTCATTTCAAGTTTAGTCAATAGTAAATTTAAATGTATTTTTCTTTCATTTTATGTTTAATCAATTTTTTAAATGTCCATATTTAAAATATGTTTGTTTCTTATTTTGATTTTTATTTTCTAAGTTATAGATTTAATATTTTAAAATTTTATTTGAAAACTTATTATTTTAATATATTTAAAATTTTAAATATATTTATAAATATCTAATATAATTTCAGTAGATATTATAAATTAAAAAATGTTACAATTCAACCATGAAACATAAAATTTGATTTATGTTACCCAAATAATATAATCACTATGTTTGATTGAACTTAAATGTGTATCTTAAATTTATTCTATTTTTTTTTCAATAAAATTGGGTTTACTAAATTAAATATGTTTCTCAACTTTAATCATTTTTTTTCATGAAATTATGTTAGTTTCAAAAGTTATGTTTTTAATATCACATATTTATTTTGTAGTCTTTAACTCTTTTGTATTAACTAAAATTTGGAAAATGGTAAAAAAATATTTGTTCAGGGGACATGCCTGACAACACAATTAATTGCAAGACCATCGTTACATAACCGTCATCTCCCATAAACACGCCACTTGCACGTTCCCGGGAAATGAACAGTCGCGACACATGGCACCACAACGAGCAAACGTACGCGAGAGGTCACCTCCCCCCAGCGAGCTCGGTCTTAACCCCTCGACCCACGGTCTTCAGAGCTCGGGGGGCTAGTGTACTATCCGTACCACGTAACCGAGCTCCGAGCTCGGCACCACAACGCAAATCGACCTCGGACGCGCACCGCACGACATCAGCTCGGCATTTAAGTGAATCATAACCGATTCCCGAGGATCTCGCCCCAGACGAGGTCCGTTGTCTAATCATATTACATCTTATCTCAAGTCCAAGGCCCAAAGCAACCCTAATTCACACTAAGGTACGTGCATTACATATACGAGATTCACACTCCCACAAACACTACCTTTAGCATCGGAGTCTCTTTTGCAGGTACCACCCCCATCTTGGAGCACCAGCGTACCCGTGAAGGAGGCTCACCGATCTTACCTGGCGGATAAGCTCTACAGCAGATTTTCGGTAAGAACAGAGGACATCCTTTGCATTGAATTCATTTCAAGTTTAGTCAATAGTAAATTTAAATGTATTTTTCATTCATTTTATGTTTAACCAATTTTTTAAATGTCCATATTTAAAATATGTTTGTTTCTTATTTTGATTTTTATTTTTTAAGTTATAGATTTAATATTTTAAAATTTTATTTGAAAACTTATTATTTTAATATATTTAAAATTTTAAATATATTTATAGATATCTAATATAATTTCAGTAGATATTATAAATTAAAAAATGTTACAATTCAACCATGAAACATAAAATTTGATTTATGTTACCCAAATAATATAATCACTATGTTTCATTGAACTTAAATGTGTATCTTAAATTTATTCTATTTTTTTTTCAATAAAATTGGGTTTACTAAATTAAATATGTTTCTCAACTTTAATCATTTTTTTTCATGAAATTATGTTAGTTTCAAAAGTTATGTTTTTAATATCACATATTTATTTTGTAGTGTTTAACTCTTTTGTATTAACTAAAATTTGGAAAATGGTAAAAAAATAATTGTTATCTAAAAAATTAGAAAGGTAATATAATAATATGGTTGTGAAAATATTTTATATGTGTCAATTTAATAGATATAAAAATATAATTTTAACATTTCTTCATTTAAATCAATTCTAACTCATATTTTTCTCAATATTAAGACACTTGAAAATGCAAGATTGTGTAATACCTTTTATATTGACAACTTTCATGCAAAATAAAATATCTCTATTTTTTAGGTTATGGTTATTTCTTTCATAAAATAAAATAAATTACATGAAATTTTAAATATCTCATATTGATACATGACATTGTATTATTTATTTTTGTAGTTTTTTAAAATCAAAGAAATTATGTATGATGTATTATATAAAAGAATTGAAATTTATTATTGAAATGTATGACATTATTCAATTTAATTATTTATTAATTCTAATATATGTTTTAGTTATGTTAATGTTAACTAAAAATAATAGCATAATGACATTTAATTTCTATTATAAATTGCAAGGAACCTAAAAATCGTCCTAAAGTAAAATCTTTATTTGGCCTTCCTATTAAGAAAATTTTATGATAGTAAAATATCATATTATGTAAAATTATTTATATAATTATATGCCAAAAATTAAATTAATTCCATATATAAATTATTTTAAATTTTAAAATAATACACATATAGAGACACGAAGTGCCTCGTCCCCACTAATTATATATAATAAGAATAAGAGGAAGCAGTATTTTCAAGAAAACTTTTCTTGTTTATTAAGTTAATCCTTGCAAGCGACGAGAGGAGAAAAGGAGAGTGTGCTTTTATACGAGTTAGATCAAAGCAGATAGTAAGTGCATTATTAACGAGTCAAGTCAGTAAATGTATTAGAAAAGAAGAGATCATATAGATATAATATATTTTTTTTCATACATTAAAGAACGGGTGAATGGTGTGTGCTTTGTTACCGTAAAAAAAGCATGTGCTTTGTTATTGGTAACTTTTTTTTATTATTATTATAAATGATTATTTTAAAATTTATACATGTTTTTACTAAAAAAATTATACTTACAAAATGCTCTTTTATACTCATAGTATAAAATTCTTAAAATGATAAACATGATAAAACGTTCTTTTATTTGTGTGCATGCGTCACACGTTACTTAAGTCTGAAGGTTACTAACTTGGTATGTATTTAAAGGGTAATGATATTCTCGTAAATTTATGGATATTTTTTAAAAAATATATTGAAAATTATATATATATATATATATATTTATTTATTTATGAATATTGTTTTGCAGAATTGTACGCCCATTAAAAATGTGAATGATTTTGCATTTTTGTTATTTTAAATGGGAGAGCAATTTTTTTTTCCACTATACTACTTCTAAAATTTTTAATTGAGCTGAATTTTATGGAAATTTTATATTTTTTTAATGAATCATAGTTACTGTAGTTTATATTTATTAGAGTCGATGGAATGGTAAAAAACTTGAAGTAAGTGCATAAAAACTTAAATATTGTCTAACACTGCCAAAACAAGTTTCGCATGCATAAATTTTCGTTAAAATTTTCTTTTACATAGGTTATTATATCTTTTGATATTTCTAACTACTTTAAATTGTAATATTTACTTTCATTTATCTTATTCATATTAAATTATTTCTCTTCAAATATTAATGATTTATGCCCTCTCTATATTTTTTTTAATGCTTGTATGTCTCGATCAATTTTTCCCAGTCGAAGTTACTTCAAATTGTAACTCATACTTATCTCCCCCTTTGGTCATCATTAAAAATATATCTTATAATGCAATGTTATATTCCACTCAAGTAAATAAGAGTTTGATAAAACAAATCAAGTGTACCAAGCACAAATTTGAAACAAACTCCTTATTCATTCATATATTACGGATGATATCAAATCATTACAACACAACAAAGAAAAATTAATAAATTGAAACTAAAATAGTTTAATCAATAAAAGTGTTCCAATCCTAAACAAACACTAAATTAAATCACCCGATATATCAACAACAAAAAACAAAACATGATAGCCTAAGACAAACTAAGGATCACATGAAAGAGGTTAGAGCGTTGATTTGCTCCTAGAGATCGTCTAAACGCTCATGAATTGCTTCAAATTCGTGCTCATATGCTTCTAGAGTGAGGAGTGTTGTTCCATTAAGCATCCATCTTGTTGAGCATCATGGTCTCAAAAGTTGATAAATGATTCACATCTTTTTCAACTTGATCAACTTCTTGAGTAACTTAATCTTCCACCTGATCAACAGTTGGTGCATGGTGTTAGAATACCCATTGATTTTCAACTTGAATGATACTCATTTTATGGAGAGACTGTAAATTAATCTTGTTTGAAAGAAGTTTCTTAAAAAGATTGTAATTATAAATTAATTAATTTTACACACTAATCTTACACATAAAAAAAATCATATACTAAATATTTTTTTTTAAAAAGTTACCCACTACAATACGAAAAATGAAATTAAGTTTGTTGATAAAGTTTATAGAGATCAAAATTTGACTTATTCACCCATAATTTAAGGCAAAATTACACTCTAAAAGTTTGTTTAGATACAAAATATGAATGGTTTTTAAGAATCTCTCTAATAAAATTAAAGAGTATTTTTTAAAATATAAAAACTCTAAAAAATACTTATAAACTTATATTTAAACATGTTTAAATTTTAATATGTAATTACAGTCTTCGTATTTGAATTATGTAGTTTTTGCAACCATTGAGCACTTAATTTTGCACATTTGTAATACATTAGGGGTACTAATTGTTATATATAACAAATATATAACAAGACGCCAATATAAAATATAGTTAGATTTAACTTTTAATTTAAATGAATTTGTGAATTTAGTGAATTTATGGAAATTTGGCGGTTGGATAAAAATAAAAAAATTTTAGAATTGGGGAAGAAAATTATTAATATATTAAAATTGAAAGAGGGAGCAAAGTGCAATTTGGCGATAATTCAGAAGGTTTGGAAGCAGCAAGTTGGTTTCCTTTCCTTCAATCATGGATGAGACCAAAAACAAGAACAATAATTTTATTCAATTCAAACGCGGGCCCGTCGCCCGGGCAAAAGACACCGCCTTTACGCGTTGTACACACCTCACTCTAACTATAATCCATCCATTAATCTCAAATTAATAATTAATAATTAACTAATATATCAATTCATCTTAAAATAATAATAATAATAATAATAATATTACAATTGAATTTACACCTTATCGTAGTAAAAAAAATAATTATTATTTGCGTGTGCTTCTAATAATAAAAATATATTTATTTATAATTTTTAATTCGAATCGTAGCCCTTGCGATTGTAACCGCTGCTGCAGTGGATTCTTCTTCTTCTTCTTCTTCTTCTTCTTTCTTTCTTTCTCTTTGTTTTTCACTATTTTTCCGACTCTCTCACTCACTCTCTCTACTTTCTCTCAGATCTCTTCTCCGATTCCAGGTGATTATGTTAAACCGATCTCTCTCTCTCTCTCTCTTTTCCTCTCCGATTCGCCTTTTTTATTATTTCCATTTTCATTTTGGGCGTTTTAGGTTTTCGCCTTCTTTTTTGTTTCAATCATGTTTCGATTCGATGGTTTTGGTTCTTGTTTGAATTGTGATCGATATGGATTATTGTTTGTGTTGAGTCGGATTCGATCTGTGGTTGAGTGAATCCATGACTCGTCACTAGGATATTTGGCTGAGACGTGAGAGATGGGACACAAGCGGTTGTCAAAGTCAACTGTTCGTGTGGCCGCAAAAACTTTATCCAGTATGCACTTGATTGCGGATTTAATTGGTCTTTTGTTTACAAGCTACCGAAAGACAAACCTAAAAACGCATCTAAATTAGGTTTCTAAATTTAAGTAATCAAAGACTATCTAGAGCATGCGCTTCGTCTTGGATAAGTTTAATTCACATATAGGTTTCTCTCTCCAGGCCTTTTTCTATGCTTCGTTCCAGTGTCATATGATTTTGTGTAGTTGTAGTGTGGATTCTGAATTCGTTGGTCATTTAGTTGATTTCTGGATCTGGGATTGGGATAATTTAATAGAGCCTTGCTTCTTCGATTGACTCATTGTGATTGTTTTGTGCCATTAGGTAGAGCATGGCAATGGAAGTTACACAGGTGCTTTTGAATGCTCAATCAATTGATGGGAATGTACGGAAGCATGCTGAGGACAGTCTGCGGCAATTTCAGGAGCAAAACCTTCCTGGATTCTTGGTCTCTCTATCTGGAGAGTTAGCAAGTGAAGATAAACCGGTTGATAGCCGAAAGTTGGCAGGTTTGATACTGAAAAATGCTTTGGATGCCAAGGATGAAAGCAGAAAGCAGGAATTGGTCCAAAGATGGTTGTCACTGGACCCTGTGGCGAAGACTCAAGTTAAGTCATGCTTGCTGCAAACACTCTCTTCTCTTGTAACTGAAGCTCGGTCTACAGCAACTCAAGTTATTGCCAAAGTTGCTGGAATTGAGCTTCCTCAGAAACAGTGGCCTGAGCTGATAGGATCACTTTTATCAAATATTCATCAAGTACCTACTCATGTCAAACAAGCGACCTTGGAGACTCTGGGGTATTTGTGTGAGGAAGTATCTCCTCAGGTTGTTGATCAGGACCAAGTAAATAAAATACTTACTGCGGTAGTTCAAGGTATGAATGCGTCTGAAGGGAATAATGATGTTAGGCTTGCTGCTACTAGGGCATTATATAATGCTCTTGGATTTGCTCAGGTTAATTTTAGAAATGATATGGAGCGTGATTATATCATGAGAGTTGTTTGTGAGACAACTATGTCCCCTGAAGTGAAAATACGACAGGCAGCTTTTGAATGCTTGGTCTCAATTGCAGCCATGTATTATGAGAAATTGGCTCCTTACATCCAGGATATATATAACATCACAGCAAAGGCTGTTAGGGGTGATGAGGAGCCTGTTGCTCTTCAAGCCATTGAATTTTGGAGTACAATTTGTGATGAGGAGACAGATATCTTGGAAGAATATATTGGTGATTCCAATGGAGACTCTGATGTACCTTGTTTTTATTTTATTAAGCAAGCTCTTCCTGCTCTTATCCCTCTGCTGTTGGAAACTTTACTCAAACAAGAAGAGGATCAAGATCTGGATGAAGGTGCGTGGAATATTGCAATGGCAGGTGGTACATGCCTTGGTTTAGCTGCTCGTACTGTTGGAGATGATATAGTGCCACTGGTAATGCCCTTCATTGAGGAGAATATTACAAAACCAGATTGGAGGCAAAGGGAGGCAGCCTCGTATGCTTTTGGATCTATCTTGGAGGGGCCTTCCCCTGACAAATTAGCTCCTCTTGTAAACCATGCCTTACCATTTATGTTAAGTGCTTTAGTGAAGGACCCTAATAACCATGTGAAAGACACCACTGCTTGGACTTTGGGACGAATGTTTGAATTTCTTCACAGTTCTATTGTTGGTACACCAATTATTAATGAGGGAAACTGCCAACAAATTATTACAGTTCTCCTTCAGAGTATGAAGGATGTTCCCAATGTTGCTGAGAAGGCCTGTGGTGCTCTGTATTTTCTCGCCCAGGGTTACGAGGATGTGGGATCAGCATCTCCTCTAACTCCTTTTTTTCAGCAAATTGTTCAATCCCTTCTAACTGTTACTCGCAGAGAGGATGCTACTGAATCACGATTGAGAACTGCAGCTTATGAAACATTGAATGAAGTAGTAAGGTGTTCAACAGAGGAAATAACCCATTTGGTGGTGCAACTAGTTACTGTCATCATGATGGAGCTGCACAAATGTCTTGAAACACAAAATCTTTCATCCGATGAAAGAGAAAAGCGGAGTGAATTGATAGGCCTTCTTTGTGGGTGTTTGCAAGTACTTATTCAGAAGCTGGGTTCTTCAGAATCTACCAAATATGTCATCTTGCAGTTTTCTGATCAGATCATGGGACTATTCTTCAGGGTCTTTGCTTGTAGAAATGCCGCTGCACATGAGGAGGCAATGCTAGCCATTGGAGCCCTTGCATATGCAATGGGCCCTGATTTTGCCAAGTACATGCCAGAATTTTACAAGTTTATGGAGATGGACCTTCAGAATTTTGAGGAGTACCAAGTTTGTGCTGTCACTGTTGGTGTTGTAGGGGACATATGCAGGGCATTGGAGGATAAAATACTGCCTTATTGTGATGGAATTATGACTCAACTTCTCAAGAATTTGGCAAATGATAATTTGGACCGTTCTGTGAAACCCCCATTATTCTCATGCATTGGTGATATAGCACTTGCAATAGGAGATAACTTTAATAAGTACTTGATGTATGCAATGAACACACTACAACTTGCTGCAGAGATGTATGCTCACACAGCAGGTTTTGATGATGAAATGACTGAGTACATTAATACTTTGAGAAATGGGATATTAGAGGCATATTCTGGGATTTTTCAAGGGTTTAAGAATTCATCGAAAACCCAACTCTTGATTCCTTATGCGCCTCATATTCTCCAGTTTTTGGATAGCATATACATGGAAAAAGACATGTAAGAAAGGAAAAAAGTCATTTTTCTGTTTGTCTTTTTTTCTTTGCTATCTATTCATTACTTCTAGTGACTTCATTGCCTCTTTTAATGCAGGGACGAAGTAGTCATGAAAACAGCAATTGGAGTCCTTGGAGATCTAGCAGATACACTTGGAAGCAATGCTGGTTCTTTAATACAGCAGTCTTTGTCAAGCAGAGAATTTTTGAATGAATGTTTGACCTCAGAAGATCATTTGATTAAGGAATCTGCTGAGTGGGCCAAGTTGGCTATCACTCGAGCTATATCTGTTTGAGGTTCATATGCTGAGTTAGCATATCCATTGTCATAAACTATCTGCATGCATTTGGGTGTGTCGAGGTGGGTCTTGGGATTGCATGTGTCAATTTGTCTCCATGGTCAGACAACAGAAGGTATCAGTCTGAAGGTCTTCTTGTTGTCACTAACTCTTGCATCATCACCAATGCATCACTGACTTTTGCATGAGCACCATTAAGTCCAGTTCTGTCAAGAGGAAGAGGGTAGCGATGTGTTTGCAAATGTGGGTGTAGGTCTTCATGCAACATGTAATCGGTCGAATATAGCTAAAGGGAGGCAACTGATTCCTGATTGAGAAACTAAGCTACTCTTAGTTGGAATTGGATGATGAGTTTGGACTTTGGAGTTGATGTTATGAGAAGATAAACCCATTCGAGCTTGAAAATGCTTTTTTCCTGAACTGGTCATGCATTATTGGAATGGTTGAATTCACAGGGTTGAACTGGTTTTCATCAACACCACCCAAAGTGCTTTATATCAAGTGAATCTCTTCCTTTTTTTCTGACTTTTAACCTGCATCTTCTTAAATCATTGTTTTGATCATCCTACTGTGTATAATTTGTCCCTAGGCTGTTGGTCATCCATACAATTTTTTTTCTCCATACTTGCTTTTCTAGGCTGGGAATCGATTGTGATTGTTTACCCAGGATGGGAAAGATTACATCCTACACGCATTATGCATATTTTTTTTTACATGTCGGTTGGTTTCTTAGGTCAAAAATCATCGTGCATTCATGAAATCATCAACCTTTAATTTTTTGCTTTGAAATGCATTTGTAAGTCGTATATTGGCTGTTCCTGTGGATACAAAAGAAACTCGCCATATACTGTGATGATAACCAAAGAACTTGGTGTGGTGGGTTGTTGTTTCTCTTGTTGGAGGGAGCCGTCTGGGTTTAGCCTGTATTGGTATTTCTTTCTCTTGTCTTAAGTAAAAGTTTGTGAATTTTGGCGACTTTGGTAATTTTGCCATGTTTCCTGTATATCTTATTATGGTTTGGTAATATGAATCTTTTTATTACTGAGATAAGATAAAATGTTTGGCCACTTTCATAGGCACTTTTCAAATTCCAAATTTGTATATCACCCTTCCTTTTGGGTAGACGGCTAAAACTAACGCATTCTTGTTCTTGGCTATTTATTTGTATAAACTGTAATGTTGAATCAGATAATGAACAATGGACATGAAGATAATACGCAAGTAGTTATGCATATGAAATATTTCTGATTTTTATTAATCTCATTCTTACACACATGAATCGGTTTCTTTTTTAGTAGTGAAAAATTTAGATCATGGAAAGGCATGCTCCTTTGCAAGGTAAGATAAAACTGTTGTCTTCATTGATGATTTATAGCAAAATTTCCTCATCACTTATCAAGAGAAAAAATCTGATAATCAAATTCAAGTTACTACTGGTGTGAAAGAAAGATTCACAAATGTCAATCTTTGATGTTGGAACCATCAAAGATTGTCATGTGTACAATTTAAAGTTGTCATCGGTTTTCTCGAGTTGGGATTAGCCGCGAATTAGGACGGGAACAGATCTTTCTCATGAGAAAAAACTGGAGTGTGCAGTTAACAAAATTTTAACCATTGAATTAAATGAATGATTACGATGTTGCCAATGGTTGAAATTTTGTTAACCGGACGACCTCCGGTTTCTTTTACAGAAAGAGAGGATCCGTTCCAAGAAAGGACAACTGTTACAAAAAGAAAAGAATTTTATTGTTATTATTACTATCATTTTTTTATTCATTCCTTTATACTTGATGGCTGACGAATTTTAAGGGCTGTATGGAGCAGTCAATGACTGGTTTTGGATCAACTAATTGATCTAGTCCGATTTTGATAACAATCAAATTTATTCTATTTTATCAATACTTATACTTACATATTAAAAGTTTGCGTGCGTTTAAGAATTTTTCTTTTTTGTTCTTATCTTTAATTTATATTTATCATATTTATTTATAAATTAAATTTTAATATTTTAAAATAAGTTATTAATAATTAAAAATAATCTATTGTAATATAAATTATTTATTTTAATAAAAATATAATTTATATGATATAATTTATATATTTAAATATAATATTTATTTGTGTAAATAATTTATTATAAAATTGATTTTATATAATAATGTACCAAAGTACTAGTTAGTTTAAAATAATGAAAATTGGTTTTAATTTTAATAATTTAAGTATCTGATTTGCGGAATTTGTATTATATGCTTAAGTTTAACGAGTTTATAAAATTAGTTCTCATCATATATTGAAAAGTTTAACACTGTTTAGTAGCCAAGATATACCATGAAAATTGAGAGGAAATGGAAGGGAAGATTAGAATCTATTATATTATTTCCATTTTTCTCTTTTCCATATTTTTCTTTTATATTTCTATGTATCCTATTTCTTTGCTTCCTGCCCAACAAACCCTACAGTTGAGTTGACCATGGACAAAAATCTCTTGCGGATCTTAAACCTATAATGTTGACAAATCATTGAATAATTTATAATTTATTTTCTACAAAAATTAAACTAATCTAAGTGAAAATCCAAGGTAATTGTTTTCTCCTTTCAGGAGATTACTTGCGTGCCCTTTCGGAATAGAGGGTTTTGGTGCCCTCTGTACGGACAGCCAATCAGGTAATGTCACGTGGCCACTTACTCCATGTCACCCAGGGTGTTGAAACTTTGACCTGAAATCGGGTAATTGGATCTGATCCGCCCCTGCACCATGATCCAACAAACCAACCCGAATAGAGGGTCCCTCTTTTGTCCAATTTGTAAATGCATGCCACCTCATTTTGTTTGCATTGAAACGTGGCTCCATCTACTTCTCTTTAATCGAAGGTTCCTGTTTCCTTTTGTGTTTTGTTGGCTCCATGTTCTTCTCTTTAAGCCAAGGTTGTTTCCCTTCCCATCCCCGTGTTTCGTTGGATCAGGTGTTGTATCTCCGTTTCCTTGTTGTTCTCCTCATGGATGTTGTTCTGTTGGTCAAATGTTGTGTGTGTTACTTTGTCTTTGTTTCCATCTTGTTCTCTTAAGCGGCGAAATTGTGTCCTTTCCCTTTTCCATGTTCTTGTTGTGTCTGTGTTTCCATTTTGTTGGCATGGATGTTGTTGTGTTCATGAAATGTTGTCTCCGTTACCGTGGGTTTGCTTCCATTTGAAATCCTTCCAGGTTCTTCTCCTCATGAAAAGTCGTCTCTCTTTGCATTTGAAATCCTTGCAGGTTCTTCTCCTCAGCTGATTTTGGAGTTTTGGGTGTGGTTCCGGGGGATAGGCACCCCGATTCTGAAGTGAACAGTTAGTGGTAAGTTCCATTTTGTGCGATTAAGTTGTAATAACTTTTGAGTTGTGCTCGAATTCTCTTTAATTGACTGGTCATGTAGTGTTGGTTTCACGATTAAGCGTATGCGTGAATATTGTTTGGTTTATTTGGTGAGTTGTTAGGATTCATATTGTTATGTGATTTTGTTAGGGTTATTATTTTTTTGCAGATTTAGTAAGTATTAATAAGTCATGTAGGTGTTGTTGTATTTCGTTGTGAAGGCATTATTATGGATTGTTGATCGAGGTGGTAAAAAATTAGATTGTAATTTATTTTTCCAATTTGATAGTGTTGTGATTGTGTCGTTGTAATTATTGTTTTATTAATGTGGTTTGACAATATTTGTGGTAAGCATTATTGGTTATGATAATGTTTGTCCATGGTATTTATATTTGTTAGATATCAGAAATGGAGAATTCCGCATCTTCACATACAAGCAGGACTACGTTATCCACATTACCAAGGGAAATGCCTTTATGTTATTGTGGTATTCAAAGTAGGATACAATACTCAAAAACTCGTAAGAATCCAGGGAGAAAATTTTATGGTTGTGGAAGATATAACGGGACAAATAGTCATTGTCGGTTTTTTGAATGGTGCAACGAAATGGATCAAGTGGAAGAATTACAAACAATAGTGTCTGGGCATATTTGTGATATATCTGAGTTACAGGTTAAATTTGACAAGTTGAGAGAGGAGTTAAATGTTACAAATAAGAAGGTAGAAGTTGTGGAAGAAATGGTGATGGATGTTTTGAAGATGGTGAAAACAAATGAGATTAAAATGAGGAACAAATTTATTGTGGTTTGGATCATAGTGTTTGTCTTGGCTGGAATTATAATGATATGAAGAACAATTGTTAAATATTGTGATTAGTTTAATTTACTATTAAATATAATGTACGTTTATGTTATTTTGAAGTTTGATTTAGTATTAAATGAAATGTACGTTTATGTTATTTTGAAATCGAAGTGCATGAAAAATTAGTTTGGAAATACGTAGGAAAAAATGATGGTTTGTTGAAAGGTTATTAGGTTCATATGAGAATGTGAATAATGCAAGAGTGACATTTAGAATGAAATGAGGAATATTTAATTTTTTATTGTTAGTTTCACATTTTTTTAAAAGTGAATTGGGTTATTTCAATTAATTTAATTTAGTAATGTAACATGAATGCAATTTTTGAATTGAAGAAGCTTACGATAATACATAATTCATCTTCTAACCATTTATGACTAGTTAAAATTGGTTTGTGATGAAATTAACGACAGTAGGATCAAAGTAATTAGCTTAGGTTCAGGAATTTTAAGAAAGTAGTAAAATGTAAAATAGTTAATGTACATATAGTTTAGGAATTTTTTTTTAATATCGAAGTCAAGTAGTTCTAGCATGAAGTAATTTAGTATTTATTATTTATAATATAGGTATGTTAAAAAAAGTAAAAATATATTTAAGTTTTTTAATCTAAGGAAATTGCAATGTAAACGTCGCCCATTTATTAATTTTACATGGGCCAAATTTTAAGTAACCGAATTCGAGTACAAAAATTACTAAGGTGCTGTTTATATATATATATATATGATGATCCAATTACTAATCCTAAA